CTTTGCGGTACAGGAGATCAAACTCAGGACTTTGCACTTGCCAGGCAGGGGCTTATGCCGCTGAGGTACATCCCTGGCCCCACAATTCTGAATTTCAAAATTTCTTATTTCTTAGACTGATTCTGTGGTACAGTGCAGTCCTCTCCCCTTCTCTAAGCCTTTGAGAATAGAGTGGAAATAGCAGAGCCACTGTGCAGCTATAGTAGTTCTCTGTGGCTTTTGTCACAAATACTGCAAATTTGGTGATGAGTAAACACACTAGTTAAGACAGCACAGCTTTGAAGCCCTGAAGGTCAGATAGATGTTCAAAATGGGCTTCATGGGGCTAAAGTCAAGGGCTTGGTGGGTGTGGCTTTTCCTGGGGGACAGTCAATGTCCTTGTCCAATAGCGCCCACGCTGTGGCTCTTCACCTGTCCATCTCCTCATGGCGTGGGCTCCTCATTGATTGAGAGTGGAGGCTCTGACGTTCCTTCTGGCACGGATGCCTCTTCAGCTCCCTGTTTCCTCTTGATTGACTCAGGAGATAACACCAGGCCTACCTCATTTATCCAGGCAGTTCTTCCCATCTCGGTGTCCTTAACATAACCCCAACTGCCACGTTCCTCTTGTCCAGTAAGAGTCCCCGATTTAAGGGAGTAGGACATGGGCAGCTTTGGGGGCCATTGTTCTGCCCTCCACAGTAGACCCCATGAAAAGATTTTCCAGCCATGCTGTGGGGACTGGCTCTGGGCTTACCCCTTAAAGAAAACAAAGATTCAAATCCTTGGCTTCACTGGAGAAGCTTCTGATGGGGGGACCTGGCCCACTCTAGGAGCGCTTTGCCTCTCCGGGAGACATAACCTGTCCTTGGGGGCTGGGTGGGGCAGGTGTGCGGGAGTGGCGAGGGTGAGGCAGGCTCAGGCAAGGTAGGGGTAGCTCTGACACAGCTGGTTCTGTGTCTTCTGAACAGATCCCGCCGAACCTCCCTTGCTCAGTGACGTTGCAGCCAGGGCCAGAAGACACCGGGAAGGCAAGTCACCCTGAATGGGCCTCTGTGTGGCTGCAGGGCTCTCGTGTCTCCAGCTTTCTAGCTTTCTCCCTGGGAAGTGCTGGACACTCAAGATCATCCCCCGCATCCCACCTCCTGGCCCCCCATTGAAGCTTCCTTGGGTTTAGGCCTGCTGGTCCTGTCTTGGACAACTATTCAGACAAGGCCACAGGTTGGCCTCACCCCTACATGACCTGTCAGAGGCTCTCCTGAGTCACTGTTGCTGGCCCTGGCGTTGACTGCAACAGGACCAAAATGTTCTAAGGACTTTCACCTGGGCTCACACAGTCCCAGAAACCTTACATGGTGGTATGAGCCCGCTGTGTCACAGATGGGGAAACTGAGGCTTGAAAGAAATGGTACCACTAGTGTCCCCTGCCCAGACCTGAGAGTCCACTTCCTCATCTCTGAGGCAGAGATGGCGGGATGTGCCGTCTGTGTTGTTAGGAAGACTGAGCAAGACCCCCAGTGCAGGGTAATGTACCCTCTAGGAGCTCCCAGCCCTGCTGTCTGTTGCTATTTCTGGGTGCTGGTTGGATGGGGACAGCCACCTGGGTGGAGGCAGGAGTCCCAAGAATAGCACCTTGCTGGGGTATCTTGGGACAACAGTCCGGGGTTCTGGAAGCAGCTCTGTGGGCAGGTGTGTGAAGGGCCCAGGGGCTGGGTATTCCTAGCCAGCAGCCTGGTTTGTACAATGGGAGGCTGGGTGGGCCCCGTGCTGGAGACCCTGCCACCCCAAGGCCCCTTGGGCAGCTCTGCCTCCTCCACAGGCCTGTGGCGTGGACTATGAAGTCAAAGCCTTCTGTGCTGAGAACCTGGAGGAGAAGATCCACAAAAGGTGTCTGGGCGTGGGCTCTGGGTGTGGAGGGGAGGGGACAGCCGGGGGGAAGGGGCGAGTTGGAGGAGAGCTGAGCCGTGGCGACCTCTTCCTACAGTACCATCCAGTAGCGTCCTCCCCTCCAGATTGTGGGTCTTTTTATTTTTGGAAAAACCCCATACACTGCAGGTTGTGCTCAGTGTTGAGCTAGATGCCTCTAGGCCACCTCCATTTCCGGTTTCCTCCTGGGAGGTGATGGGCGGAGGTGGGGCCTGCATGTCCTGGAGGACCCTAAGCCTGGGAGGGAACGGAAGGTGAACCCACTCGGGAGAAGTGGGGGGGCGTGTCTCGGGGAGCGGAGGTCTGCTCCTGTGGGCCGGAATCACCTGGCCCCTACTCGGTGATGCCTTTCCTGGGTTTGACCCTGCCCTGCACAGCAGCCTCCTACGGAGCGGGCTGTTTGCTACCTGGTGGCTGTTGGAGGTACTGCAGGCCTCTATCCACAGCCCAGGCCGCTGGCTCGGCAGCGCAGGGAGATGAGACTCTCCTCTCTTGAATCTGTTCCCTTTTCCTCTTAAGACATCAGGCCAAGGAGAAGGAAGGGTGCAATGGGCTGTGTCAGGGGGCCTGACCAGTGCACAGGAGCAGAGGCAACACTGAGAGCCACCATCCTCACCCCACCACCAAGGGGGTATTTAGGACCACAGCAATAATTTCCTTGTAAGGGTGACATGCTGGTAGTAGCTGTCATTCCTCAAACATGTACCAAACATGTCCAGAGGTCCAGACAGGCCTGTATTCATTTAGTTCTCATAGAGGTCCTAGGAGCTAGGTCCTGCTGCTGTCAATACTTTACAGATGAGGAAACCGAGGCACAGAAGAGTAAATGCACTCAAGAGAGTATTCTAGAGAGTGGAGCTAGCTTGGGGAGGTGGGGATGCCCGCACTCCCGGTGCGCCATGAGAGGGTCTCCCTGATCCCCGTCCCCCTCCCTGAACTCTTCACACCTGGAGCCTGCATTGCCTCATTGAGCTGCCTCTTCCCTGGCTTACACCCTCTAGCTGGGCCCACACTCCTCTTTAGCCTCCGAGCCTTCTGGAAATATCTATTTCATATCGGGCCCCTGTCCCTTCTGCTTTTCTTTTTGCATTGCTAAAAATAGAACCCAGGGTCTCATACGTGCTAGGCAGACACTGTACTACTGAGCCATAACCCCAGCCCTATAGGTATTTATTTTATGGAAGATGCTGCCATAGGTGCTGGAGATACTTCACTATTAGGTGACACCGAGAGGAAGTGAAAACAGTGCTTCTCCTCTCACCCTGCTGAGTACCAGGACGCAGACCCAGAGACGTGCTGCCACAGGGTGGGCAAGGATGGACTAGGGCCAGGTGACACCAAGACCCTAGGCCAGCCTCCACAGTTGGCTGGATTCTGAGTGATAGGGGGCTCTAGCAGCCTCCTGCGCAGGATAGGAATGCAGGAATTGCAGAGAAGGAATGGAGGCAAGTGACTCAGGTCATCTTTCCCACTGTCCTTCTCCATTAGAAATTCTGTACGTCTGGTCATCCGGAAGGTTCAATATGCCCCAGAGAGGCCTGGCCCCCAGCCCACAGCCGAGACCACCAGGCAGTTCCTCATGTCAGACAAACCCTTGCACCTGGAGGCCTCCCTGGATAAGGAGGTAGGAGCTGGGACCTGGCAGGGGTGGGGACTGCTCTCCCAGACCCGCTACTCCTGGCCTTGAGGACTCCTCAGCCAGGAGCCCATCCCCAAATCCTGGGACTATGGGGCTTGGGGAACTGAGGCTTCTCTTAACGGAGTGGCAGAGGTAGACATGAGCCCGGGGGCTAAACTGGCTGTGGAAGGAAGCAGAGTGCTTTGGGGAGGGTCTGGCCTGTCCTCTCATGTCCACCAAATTTGAGCTTCAGCCCAAATGCTAAAGACCAGCCATACTGTCAGAGGAGGGCACAGTGGTGCTTTTGGACTCCTTGTCATAATGTTTCCTAACCCTGAGCCATGAAACTGCAAACCCTGTAGAAATGGGGGAACTTTGAACCGTGGACTGAAACCTGCTGGGTATATAGACAGGCCCCTCCTGGGCTTAGGCACCCTCTTGCTCCTGGGGATGGCTGATGCCCAGGTGAGATGCAGTTAAGCGCCTTCAGTGCCACCTCAGAGCTGGGGCCCCTGTGAGGATAGCCAGCCCTTCCTCCCGTTGCTGTCATTCTTGCTGGTGGCCAGGTCAGGACTAGAGGCATGAATGTCACCTACTTCAAATATCTTTCAAGAGTCACCCAAGGGATTGGTCATTTTTTTTTTTTTTTCCCTGTGGTAGTACCAGGGATCAAACTCAGGGCCTTGCACTTGCCAGGCAAGCACTTAGTCCACTGAGCCATCTTCCTGGCTCCCCCCACCCAAGGGATTAGAAGGCTGATATACTTGGTGGTTTCTGTGTCCCCTTCATACGAGCACAAAGTGGCTAATGAGCTTGGGGCAAACATTAGAACAGCTAAGCCTTGGGGAACCCCAGGAAGGCTTTCCCCTCTCCCTTGGCTACCAGGCTGGTGTCCTCCCAGCAGACATTCCCCTTTCTGCTGCCTCCCAGATCTATTACCATGGAGAACCCATCAGTGTCAACGTCCATGTCACCAACAACACCAACAAGACAGTGAAGAAGATCAAGATCTCGGGTACTTTGGGAGAGCCTCAGCTCTGGGGTGCAAAGCCCCCTCCCAGGGGCTGGTCTGATCGGATGCTTGCCCCTTGCCAAAAGCCTTGGAACACCTTCCATTAGTGTCTCCCGAACCTCTGGGCCACATGGGGACTCTGAGGCTGGTGCCCGGTTTCTTGTGGTCTCCTGGTCAGGCCATCTCTAGATTTCCTGGACTCTGGGAAATCCTTGAGGGGAAACCTTTAGATTAGGGGGCGGAGTGGATGTTTGGGGGCTCCCCTCTGGGTGGAGGGTGGAGTGATGTCATGCAGAAGTGGACTGGTGGGTTCTGACCACTGCCCAGGCTGAGGGAAGAGGCCAGAAGTGCCTCCTGAAGTGGCCCCTTGCTCATGTGCTTCCACCCTTTTGTCCCTGCCCCCAACCAGTGCGCCAGTATGCGGACATCTGCCTCTTCAACACAGCGCAGTACAAGTGCCCCGTGGCCATGGAAGAGGCTGAGTGAGTGATCCAGACCGGCTTGCAGCTGGGTGGGAAGAAGAGCAGCTCTAGCTCTGGCCACTGCTCGGGTGGCCCTGCTCACCTGCAGAAGGCTGGGCCTCAGGCTTCCTTGCCACTCACGGTAGATGATTGTAAAGAACTTTCCAGAACTGGCCCATCTGATTTCTCAGCAATGTCGTACACACTATGGTCAAAGAAGACCAGTGGGGCCCGATAAGGGCTCACACGTGAGAGGGCCCTGGGTTTGTGGAGACGAGACTGCACCAGAAACCGAGGTGGGAGGGAAAACTTTGCTCTGAGCTCCCTGGGAGCCAGGGTAGAGTGGGAGGCACCGGGGACAGCTTTTCTTGTCTGATAGAGAAGTCATCCAGCTCCCTGGGTAAAAGGGGTTGTGTGTGGGAGGACAAAGAGTAATTTTATAAAAAATATCTAGATTGAGGCAAGCTGCTATGGTTGCCAAATCTCAAGCAAAGGCGTTTACAAAACTACCTAAAGGGGTTATACGTGTTCATAGAAGACACACTTTTTTTTTTTTTTTTTAACCCGGCCAGTTGCGCTTTGGAGGGACAGTTGCACTTTATGTAATGTTACCTGAGTATGTGCGTATATAATTGGAATTGATATTTCTTGCCACATAAAGACAGTTTTAAAAGGTCTTTGAGATAGCATTTAGTTTCCTATAAGTAATTAGATCAGATAGTCCCCTATTACTAGATGTATAACTCATGGCTTTGAAGGTTTGTTTGGTATTAGAAAACAAACCTTCAAAGTCATGAGTTATAGATTCTTGGTGAGGAGTGTGGAGAAGTAACCCAGAGCCAGGGCAGTCTGTAGGCCCTAAGTGGGCCCTCAGGTCCCACAGACGTGCACATCCGTGCAATTCGTGCGGCCCAGGAAGGAGCCACTGTGCTCAGCGAGTGTACAGTCTGTTCTCATGGAGTCTTGGGGGCTTGGGGCTGCCGCCGCCCTGATGTGCAGATAAGGGAATGGGGTCAGAGAAGGGTCCATGCTCCGCCATGCAGCTGGCCAGGGCCTGAGCAGGGTGGTGCCAGGGCCAGCCTACGTACTGTGTGCCGCACAGCAGTTGTCTTGATGAAAGGGAGAAAATAGGCAAAGCACAAAAAACAAATAAAAATTGAACAATCAGGGCTGGGGAGATAGCTCAGCGGCTTAAGGGCCTGCCTGACAAGCGCAAGGTCCTGAGTTCAATCCCCAGTACTGAAAAAAAAAAAAAAAAAAGATTCAAAAATTGAACAATCAAAAAATTTTAAAAACTGAATAATCCAAGTGCTGTGTCCACGGTGGAGAGATGTGCCCGCATGAGGAGGGTGGAGCTGCCATAAAGCAAGTGAAGTTTTAATTGCAGGGCGTAGGGAGTGGCTTTTGGGTTTCTAATAGCTTCTGTCATTGTTTACGTATAGTTGTGTTTTTAAATAAGTGTATGCTTAGCGCTGTGCTGTTCCCTGGCCCAGGGTCAGTCCTGTTTGTGTGGAGGGCAGGTGTGCCTCTTCCACGTGGCAGTGGTGTCCCTGTTACAGCTGGGCTTGGTACACATGGTCCCTGCAGGTGGGGGTGAGGGGAATAGGTTGGCAGGGACAGGCTTGGGCTGGGCCCAGCCTGGGTTGGGGCTGAGGCAGGAGCTGGCATGGGAAGGGTGCCCTTCATGCCTGTCTCCCTCCTTCAGTGACACAGTGGCGCCGAGCTCAACGTTCTGCAAGGTCTACACACTGACCCCCTTCCTGGCCAACAACCGGGAGAAGCGGGGCCTGGCCCTGGATGGGAAGCTGAAGCACGAGGACACGAACTTGGCCTCCAGCACCCTGTGAGCACCGCCCTCCTAGTCCCTGGTGCCTGGACCCTGAGTCCTCCCTCATCCATCTGTGCGGAGACAAGGGTCAGGTTCGCCTCTCCCAGGGCTGTGTGCAGGAGCATGACCGATCAGGAAGGAGGACCAAGAGCAGCGGGGACAGGGTCTGGCTCACTCAGTCGGTGCCAGCCCTGCTCGCGGCCTGGGGTCCTTAGCCAGCAGCAGTGTTTCTGGGGCTGGAGGGAAGGGCTGGCTCCCAAGAGGTCCTAGCTTGATGGGGTGAATGGGACACTGAAGGGAGTCTGCAGAGATCTGGCTCTGCAGCCAGGGCTCCAGGTGTGGGTGCCCTCCAGGTCAGAGATCCCAGGGCTGCGTGGCCACTGCCAACGCATGGGCTCGTTAAACCCAAGCATGTGGGATGCCTTCTTCACCCTCCCTGTTGGGGTCTTCAGCACCCCGACCCCAGATGACTCTACGCTTAGGCCCGCCTGACTCTTTCTTCTTCCCAGCATAGGCAGGCCCCATCCCGCCAAGCCTTTTCCCTCTTCTTTACCTCAGCTGAAATCCTGCCTGTAAGACCCCGCGGAGCCACCAGCTCCTGGCTACCACTTTCCCCGACACCTTCAGCTCCCAGTGCCCTCACCCTCTTTGAGCTCTCAGATGACCCTTTCTGCCAGCAGGGCACTGAGCACAAATGTGGGGGAGCACCCCCTCACTGTGCCACTGGGCCACGCTGGGAGGTGTGGGCTCTTGAGTTCTGGCTTTTTGAGAGAATGCACAGCTAGCTCACTGTCACTTCTGATGGGCCAGGTTGAGGCCCACACTAGGCTCTGTGGGACATGGCAGCTGGGTACCCCAGGAGAAGAGTGGGCAGCAGTGCCCCCTCCTGAGCCCCATTGCCTGCTGCATCTCACTTCCTAGCGAGCTAATTCGTGTTGCCTTGCAGGTTGAGGGAAGGAGCCAACCGTGAGATCCTGGGCATCATTGTCTCCTACAAAGTGAAAGTGAAGCTGGTGGTGTCTCGGGGCGGGTGAGTGTTTGCTCCCCAGGGCCCCCTGCAGCCCCCCACCCCATTCTGCCTGTGTGTCAGACCTTCTCACTGCATCCTCCTGTGGAGGAGGAAGGGGGATGGAGCACTTCCTGTTCCTCTCTGCCTCCTTCCGGTTCTCATCCCCTTCCAACAACCCAATTCCTGTCCTCTAGTGCCCACCCTCTACCTCATTCCCTGTCTCCAACTCATCTTTCTCCCAGGCTGGCCCTGGCATGGAGTGGGCATGAAGCAGGATGGTATCTGAGTCTATTCTGTGGGTGCCCGAGGCTGCCGTGCCTCACGGCTTCTCGGGGCATGACATACACCCTTATTCCCGCCGCGTCTGCTTTGCTTGGGCATCAGAGTGCCAGAGCTGGATTCTGGATTTGCTACTTTGGTGGACTTTCCCATTTTACAATGGAGACAAAGGCCGAAACACTCCCCAGTTACTTCCTGAAGTCTCCTCCTCTCCCCTCCTCTCAAGGGCTGGTGTCCCAGCAGAGGACCAAAGTATTCCTTGCCCTGAAGCACAGGGCAAACTGCTCGGTAGTTTGGTGGAGACTCAGAAGACAATCCCATTTCTCCATAAATTGGGCTTCTGTGTTGTAAACCTAGGATTTAAAGTTTCTAATTTGGGGCTGGTGAGATGGCTCAGTGGTCTAAAGCATCTACTTAGAACAAGCTTAGCAAAGCACAGGGACCGCGGTTCAATCCTCCAGCACCACATGCCAGCCATCCCTGCCCCCTGGTGGACTGAGCTGGCCACACACACACACACACACACACACACACACACACACAAATAAATAAAAAAAATTAAAAAAAAATAAAGTTTCTAATTTGGAAGATTTTTTTTAAATTTGATTCATAAATTTCCAGGGAAAGATTGAAACATTAAATGACATTAGACATTGAGTCCCCTTAGTCGTTAGAATAACACTGATCACAAATTTTAGGACATCTTTAAATCCCAATCCTGTATCCTGTGACCTTGCAGGACCTATCATCTTCTGTAAGCTCCTGGTGACCCCAACATGGTTCCTTGTGCCACCCAACAGTGCTGGGGTGGGAAAGCCTCTTTTAGAGCTGTGGACTGTGGGGCTCAGGGAGTGTGCTGAGCTGGGCTTGTGCTCAGTCCCAGGGGCATCCTGAAACCCTCAGCGCCCTGGGTGTGCCTTCCACTGGGGTGGGGGCGTCCCTTGGTTGCTCTGGGGCAGCCGAGGTGGTGAATGAATGTGCCTTCTCTTTTCTCTCTGTGTTCTCTCCTGACCACTCCTCCCGCCTCCTCTGACCCACCCAGCCTGTTGGGAGATCTTGCATCCAGGTAAAGTCCTTCCTTGTCCCTGCTTGAGCTGCCTTCCTGGGAGGCCTGGAGACCACTGGCCTGACTGCCCAGAACCAGGGGACACTGGGTGGGGAAGAATCTAGAGGTCTTTGCAGACCAAGGGCTCAGGGCTGGAACCTTCTCAAGACAGACGGGAGTCCATGTTTTCTTTGTGAAATACCTTTCCCCGCTCTTCCATCCCACTTGAATGACAGGGACCTTTACAGACAGCGAGGATTTGGGGAGTGGCTCTGAGAGAACCTCTAGAATGCATTCTGAATTCTAGAATGTTTAGGAGAAACGCAGGCTTTGTGGCTTGCAGGCTTCTATAAGAAGAATGGACTAATGGCTGTGTGTCGCTAAGGAGAAGCCCATTTGTTTCTGTAGACAAGACTCCCTGTGACCAGCTGGATGAGCTTGTTTTCCCAAAATGCAACAGTCGCAAACATGGCTATTTGGCCTGTTTCTGTCAAGCCATGGCAACAGTGTTCATCCTGTGAAATCTTTGCAAAGACTTTATGAGTCAGACTCGTGCTAGGTGCGGCAGGTCCTGAAGCACGCCCCGCCCCTGCCTGTTGCAGAGCTGACCTGGTAGAAGGCAGAGAGGTACAGGTTCTCCCTGCCGGACCCTGCACAGCCTCGTGAAGGCTGGTACATTCCACCTTCCACCAGATCTGTTGATGGCTCACGTTCCAAGTAGCCCGGAGAAGCAGTCCTCTTCAGAAACAAAAACAAACAGAAAGTCAAGTATTTCTGATCGTCTTTATCAAATCCCCGTATTTGCGATGAGGGGAAGTCACAATTCTGATGGGCACAAGCCTCACAGTGTAGTCAGGTCTTTTACCCACATCTGGCCATTGCAGTGGTTCTGGAAGGTTGGCCTTGTTGTCCCTGTTTTCCAGATGAGCTCAGCGAGTCTCAGATGTAAATGCTCCACTGGGGAAGGAGGGGCTGGTGGAGCGCACATTCCTGCTCGCACTCCTTGTGCCCTTTCCCGTGCCTCTCCCTTCCACTGGGCCCAGGCTGAGAAGGCTAACGGGCCATAGCTGTGCCCGGAGGCGCTCACGGTCCAGGGGAAGGCTTCCTAGGTGAGCAGTGGAGGAGTTGAGAAGGGCAGCGCCAGGACCGCTCTGGTGTTTGCAGGTGGGCAGGGCCCAGAGGCACCTGTGGAGCCACCCAGAGACACAGGCTGCACAGCCTGAAGCAAGGTTTTTCCCAGCCTGCAGAACTCTTTCTCAGAACAAGAGAAGCTTCCATTTCTTTTTGAAGGCAGCAAAAGAGAGCCTGAGGCTTAGACAGTGCGGATGAGGTGTGGACCTGCCTCCCTGAGCACAGACCCTGTCCGGGCCCCAGATGACAGGGCGTCAGAGCTCACAGCCTGACTTCTTGGGGCTCATGGGTTTGGGTCTGTGTTTCAGCGATGTGGCTGTGGAACTGCCCTTCACCTTAATGCACCCTAAACCCAAAGAAGAACCTCCGCGTCGGGAAGGTGAGCGGGAGCGATGGATCACTGGTGTGGGGGTTTCCAGACAGCTGGCTGCTTTCTCCACTGGTTGCCACCTGACCCCGTTACCCCATCTTCCACAGGACTAGCCTGCAGCCCAGTGTCGTCCTCCCCCAGCAACCAAGGGAGCCCACAGTTCCCACCTCTGACCCTGCTGGGAGACAGAGCCCTACCTTCTGTTCTTCATGGAGGAGGGAGGCTGGGAGCAGAGGACAGAACACACTGGCCCCACACAGGCCCAGACTCTCCTCTTCCAGAGTAGGGGAAGGGGGGTATGGATAAGATCGCCTCTGGACTCCCATTTCCATCACTTTCTAAGGGATAATCAATTAGTCATATTTCACTGAATCTTAGAGGGACAGCACATCTATGATTAAACTGTAAAATGCCAGTGATTATAAAACACACTCCAAGCTCAAGAGAGGTTAAAGTGTTAAAAAGAAAAAGTTGCCTTTGAGTCAGCAAAAGTCATGAATGCGCGAGTGCAAGTCATGTTGGAAGCCTACCCAAGTCCTGTGGCTGCAGTGGGGCTGGGGCCCTCCCTACAGCCCTGCCTTGAAGATGATCAGGGGTGTTCTGTGGCCTCGATGAGTCGCCTTTCCCCTTTCCTTTCATCCTTGCCCTCCCCATATTAGCCTGCTTGTTCCAGGGTCGGGGCTGTGCCTACCATCCCCAACCCTCACTAACTTCTGGGTGCCCTGCTGTCCTGTGTTCAGTTCCAGAGAATGAGGCGCCAGTGGACACCAATCTCATAGAACTGGACACAAAGTAAGCTGAACCCTGCCTGCAGATGTCTGGGGGTGGGCCTGGGGGCTGCTATGAAAGGGTCATTTGCATATATGCTTATTAACCCCCGAGGAGCAGCTGGTCTAACCCCGTCTGCTGAGAGCCATCTCTGCTCGCCTCTTCAGCAACCCACTTGCCTGCATGTGACTTGAAGGACCCTCCGTGCCTGTTCCTCTTCCTCCTGCCTTGGTGGGGTCTGTCTTCCCCCCTCGTTCTTGCACGTCCGTCCGTCAGTCCGTCCGTCCATCCACAGCACCTGCTCAGCTCACACAGGGCTGGTTGAGCCCTGGATCTGCTCTCCTGCCCCGCCATGCCCATTAGGTGGGGGCAGGCAGTGGGTGGGGAAGGGTCTGGGGTCCTGCTGCTTCTGACTCCTGTGGACCACCTGATGAGGATGTCTTTGCGGTGGAAGGCCACTGTGGCTCTGGACTGGCTGGAGAGAGAGGACCTGGGCCAACAGCATGGATCACCTTCCGGGCCAAGCAGTTTTCTTGCGCCAGCTCCAAAAGCTGCCCTTGCTTTGTGCTGAGGGAGAAATCTGGGAGATGGGTCTTGAGTCATTCCATAAGGAAGCTCCATGCTGCTGGCTGAACTCCACGGGGCAGGGGGCTTGGATGGGCCCAGCCTGGTCTAGAGAGTGCATGCTTTATGATGGGAAGGAAGCACTTTAGTACTGCAGCCCCACTTAGGACCCCAAGCCTACCGTGCCGTGGGCCCCTCTGTAGGTTTGTCAGCCCCTCCCCTACCTGGGTTGCATGTGAACTAACACTTCCAGGAAAAGGCATGTCACAGATTTCTCTTCCATGAAGTCCAGCCCACTCCTTCCTAAGGGTAGCTTGGTGTGTGGGTGGCTTTTCTGGGGTGAGGGGGGGTTGAGATATGCTGTGGAGCCCTGGTGGCCTGGCCTTTCATGGTGGGAATAATTCCTTCCCCTGGCCAGAGCCACTCTGCTTCTCCAGTTGACATGTCTCACTCATACCCTCAAAACTGGGTCAGTTTTCTAGCTCCTAGGCATGAAAGTCAGGCTTGTGTCCCTCTGGCATCTTACTGCATCCCCAGGCCCAGAAGTGGCTGTTCCAGTGGCTACATATAGGCATGCTGAGGTGCCAACCTGGCAGATCTTCTGCTCTAGGTCAGCCCAGAGGCCAGAGACCCCAGAGTGTGGTTCTCTCCTTGGCCCCTGGGCATTGCATCGGGCCAGGCCCCTGCCTTTGCCTCCTCTCCCTGCCCCTGCAAACATGCCACATTTTCCTTGTCTCTCCTACCAGTGATGACGACATTGTGTTTGAGGACTTTGCCCGCCAGAGACTGAAAGGCATAAAGGATGACAAAGAGGAAGAGGAGGATGTTACCGGCTCCCCACACCTCAATGACAGATAGACGGGCCGGCCTCCCCCGGCAGCTCCGGGCCACTCTCCTGCACTCGGATGCTCACTTGTCTTCTTCCCCTTCTGGTCCCCCCTCCCCCTTGTTCTTCCAGTTTCTACCAGGGGGCCTCATGGCCTCCAGGTCTTGGTGATGGACCTCTGGCTTCAGGACTGGCCCCACATCACCATGCCAACAAGCCCACAGTGCACTGAATTCACCCCTCTCCCAAGTCACCTCTGCACTCCTTTCCCCTTTTCATGCTCATCCCAGAAAGGCCACCATGACATGGGTCTCGGGATTTGGCTTGAAATGGGGAGTGAAAAGGGGAGAGTGCCTAGGAGGGGTGCGGCAGTGGTGGGCATGAGCACTCAGGTGGCAGGGGCGCTCAGGACGTAGGAGCAGATGTCTGGAGTCCCAGGTGGTAGCACGGTTCTGGCAGCTGAAGGATGAGCACGGGGACAGGTGCCCTTCTGCTGTGAGCTGGGTAGATTCCCAATGCCTTTTTGCAGTTTGGACCCACCAAAGACCTCTCCTCCTTCACCTTCACCCCTGCCCAGGTCCCCACACCTTAAGGGGCCTTGGTGAAAACCTTGTAGGTGCCAGAATGGAGGAAAACAGTGGATGAACTTTCGTACCAGCAGACACCCGGGCTGAGGCCAGCTGTGTGAACTAGCCAAGTACATCTCTGCTTTGTCAGAACGTGGTGTCTTAGCTGCCTTGTGCAGAGACGGGAGGGAGAGGGGTCTTCAGCCAGCCCAGCTTCAGGGCGCTTCCTAAGTGGGGGCAGGAAGATGCGAGTCTGCCTTACTTCCCTTTCTTTGTGGATTTAAGATGGTCACTGGGAGCGAGGCTGGACAGCCAGAGGGAGCTGGGCCACCACTCTCCCTGGTTGCCCCTGCACTCTCCAGGCTGCGCACTGGGCCGGCCTTGCAGGTGGGAAAGGGAAAGCCGGAGGCCCCTGTCCCTCACAGAGGGCATATTCTGCAGTGGGTGGAGGCTCCTGGGTGCTCTCCACTAAAGGCAGGAGGCTGCCGTTTTTCCCCTTGTGTCATGGGTACCCTGTACCCATCAGCTGGTGTTGGTGTGATCAGGACCTAGCACGTTTCGCAGGAAAACAGGGCAGACAGCTGATAAAGGAGAAAGTGTTAAAAGGTATCCATCCTTGTCTGGTCTTTGATGCTAACTTGCTCTGTGACCTTGGCCAAGTTTCTTCCCCTCTCTGCGCTTCAGTTTTTCACTGGAAAACCAAGAAGAGTTTGACCAGATGACCTCAAAAGGCCTCCCAGCTCTGGCTTCTGAGACTCTGAATGTTAGCGCTCTGGTGTGCTGTGTGGAGCTGGGGCTGCTGACTGCTCTAGCCTCCAGACCTCAGAGAGCAGGGTCCTGCCCGGCACTGAGTTCCTCTTCCGGGCCTGGGAAGCTCCCTTTTTGTGTGCCAGGAATTTGCCTGGGATGAAGCTGTGGCCATAGTCTGGCTATAACAAGATGGGACAGAGCTGAGTTAGCTGAGGCTTGGGTGGGGGGCTTGTGATAGAACCTCCAGGACCTCCCGGCCTGTCTTTCCACAAGGATTCAGACACCCTGAAGCTTCTTTCTGTCGTGGTCCCACCCTTGGCCTGGAAAGGGAGATGCACAATGGCATTGTTCAAGTTGGATCGGAACTTTGTCCCAGCCTGGCACATCCAGCTGGGGGCTGTGCAGCCATTTCCCATGGTGAAATGACCCTGTCGCCTGGCCCTTCCCAGTGACCTCATAAACCCCCAACCCAAGGGACCCCTTCCCAGGTCAGAGCTGAGTGCGTGGCAGTCACACTCCTCTGGCTAGCCTGGGGTCCTACCTATAAGCATCCCAGGTATCCAGCTCCTGCTAGAGCTGGCTGGGCAGTTTGTGCCCCTCCTGGACAGCTGTAGAGGCCTAGGACACTGGAACAGCAAGTGGCAAGCGTGTACCTTCCCCTGTCTCCCTCTGGAATTGGATAGGGGACCCCCTCGTGTTTGGGGTAACCAGTCCCCTGCCAGGCTCTCCGCCCCCCGCCCCCCAGCATGCACACAGAAGATCTGCCAGGCTGGCTTCTTCTGCCTCAATGTCGCACTCCCCTTTGGGGTTTAGCCCAGTGTCAACTGCAGCTTTCCCAGCGGCAGGGAAGTGGCCAAGCCCTGTCTATCTTTTTGCTCCTTAAACCAGGACTGCACATGGCAGTGGTTAAATTCAACTGAATTCATCCTTTGCTGATGGCTTCTCTGCTCTCTGCCTAGTGCTGGCGACACAGAGATGGGCTGTTCTTGGCAAGCTCATATACCCAGAGGGAGGTGACAAGGTAAAGTAAGAAGAAAGCACTGCCTCCAGGCTCCATGGCTGCTCCTGGTCCGCACCCAGCCTTGGTGAGAATTAGAGCCCAGGACTCATCTCCAGGAGGCGGAGGACACTGGATGGACAGCCTCGTGGGTGGCTCATGGGTTGGGTTTGGGTGCCACTTGCCCCTCAGCCAGGTGTCGTGCTGTGGAGCCATGCTGTAGTCCTGTGGGGCACAGGCCGGTGTTTTTTAGGCATCTTCCTGGACAGAAGGGCCCAGATTGTCTTTCCAGACACCTAGGCTCCCCTAAAATGATTGAGTGGACCTATGTAGGGCTTCTATATTCTGCTATCAACCTGGCCAGGTGACACCTAATTTCATGGGGTTTGCCTGTGCCTTGCACTGGTACTTTCCACCAAGCTGAGGGCTGGCTCAGCACTCCAACCCCTGGGAAGATAAGGACTGAGTTACTTAACAGTCCCCCACAACCCCCCACGGCCTCTTCAGCCTTACTGCCCGGACAAGCAAGAGTGGGCTCATCTTGGTTTTGGTTTGCCTGGCAAAGCCACTGACTGCTGGTTCCTACATGGCACAGTGAAAATATTTCCTTAGAAGTCCCCAGTGCCACCTTTCAGTTCTGGCTGTCACCAATCAGCTGGGTAGCCTTGAGCAGGTGGCTCAAATTACTGGGCTCGGCTTCCCTAACCTAAATGGAACAATAGTCCCCTCCCTGCCTGACTCAGGCTTTATTGTGGGACCCAGGTAGAGGGGACTGATTGTCCAGTTGTTTCTTAAGTCGCCCAGGCGTGGCCCTACAAGTACTAGGGCAAAGCCCCAGGCCACCCATGGGCTTACTGGGGGCTGAGCCATCTTCCCACACCAACCTTCCTCTCTTACCTTGCTTCTCACGTAGTAGATGTGAGCCAGAATGAGATCCAGTCAATTTGGCCTTGGTGACCTGGCTGAGAGGGAAATGTGGACACGACTCAGGACTTACAAGCAGGGGTGCAGGATTCAGGTCAGAGAGAAGACATGGATGTTGGCAGTGACTGGAGGACAGGGCCACTTTAGGTCCTCTGAGAGCTGGGCCATCCACATTTCCCACCTCACCTCATAGAGGTCAGGTAGCCTTGGCCGTGACCCCAGGTCAGGGAGCTGACCTCGCTATTGCTCCATCAACAAAATCCAAGGGTGAGGAGAAGTAGAAAATGCCTGCTCCTCCCCTTCAGACTACAAAGACCCATCCAGGGTTGACCAGAGCAACAGTGGCTTCTTGGTGATACTTGGGAGGGCCTTGGGCCCCAAATGCCCAGGTCTCTTGCCCCAAGAGTTGAGCCTTGGTTGATCTATCCCCAGTGGTTTCAGTAACTCAGAGAAGCAGCTGCTCTCCTGCCAGTGACTAGGGCTTAGACACCCTCCATCCTCCAGGAGGAAGGGTGAGGCCGCCATCTTGAACTCTTACAGGGTCTCATGGACACAGGCCTGTGCCTGTTTTGATCATTTTTCTTTTTAAACTCAATAAGGACCAAAAGAGACTCCCTTGATCCTCACTCATTCAGCCTGCCTGGGGCCTGCATTTTGCCACCATCTTAGCCCTGGCATCTCCACCATCTTGCCCTTCCTCCTGGCTAACTGGACACAGCCAACCTGTGGGGCAAATCCCCTCCTCTATCTTGCTCTATAGGGTCGTCACTCAGCAGCTTCAAAGGGAGGCCTGCAGGAGGGGTAAGCACCTTCCCCCTACACTCTCCCAACTTGTCATCCCCAAAGAGAAGTCAAAGCACAGGTCCCTGGGACCCATGACCTGCAGCTACTCTTTCACAGTGGTTTTCCAGCCAGGTACTGTGGAATCCCTGGGATGTTCTGCAGAGTCCTTGTACGCCGCAGAGCTTGGTCAGGGGATCTCTGGGGGACACAGGAGTGGAGGCAGCAGGGGCTGCGCCTGCAGCCCTTCCTGCAGACCACCCTGCCCCAGAACAGCTCTGCTTTTATCTCTTGCCTACTGAGCTTTCACTTTCAGACTTTGTTTTGAAGAAAAACTTCAAACCACCATTCGAGGTTTGATCATAGACCAGCAAGCACAGGTTCTATTCTTGCTTTTTCACATTGGAGCAGCTTCAGTATTCCAATAAAAAGTATCTTTGTATTGAACTTGGGCCACACTCCCAGGCCTAACTCTCTCTAACACTCTTGCTCTGTCTCTGGCTTTGTCTCTGATTCTGTCTCTTTCTCTCTCACTATCTCTGCCTCTCCCTGTGTCTCTCTCTTGCTGTCCCTGTCTTCCTGTCTCTTTTTCTGTCTCTCTCTAACTCTGTTTCTGTTTCTGTGTCTGTCTGCCTGTCTTTCTGTTTCTGTCTTTCACACACACACACACACACACACACACACACACACACACACACACACAATGGTTTTCCAACCAAGTCTCAAGTTCTGGCCTGGGTTTGATGTGGGCAGGACCCTGTGCTTAGTGAGAATGGGGCTTGTCACTTGATACTGGTCATGAAGCACAGGGGACCATAGAGCAAAGAAACAGGTCCAGTACACACTCAGGACACTTGTCTGCACCCATGTGACGCCCCCTTTCTGAGCCAGGCCTATGGGACAACAGGGGCAGCAGGGGGAGGGAAATGAAGAAGCTGGAGCCGGGTTGGTTCCCTTTTGCCCACAGCCAGGCGGCTGGAAGTCTGGGGTCACAGAACACTCACGCCGTGGCCGGGCTCACCTGGAGACCTTTTAAGCAGTGAGTTTCCCTCACGAAGTTCTAGCAGGCTTCTGTGCCCATATCTGTGAGCGGTCAGGTATGTGACCTGCAGGAGACCCTTGTGCACCTGCAGTCTCCCAACCTCTCTGCCCAGGGCCCATACCAGGGCTCCCTGGCATGTGGGCATTTTGGTGAGACTTGGATCAGCCCTTGGCACAGAATCCTGCTTGTGCCCTCCTCCCAGGTCAGTCTAGGTGAGAACATGAGCTCATGGCACTGCAGGCCACATGGCATGGTTGAAAAGTGTGCCAACTTGTACTTTGTGTTTAGAATGAGTGTGCGCCTGGGGATGCCACTGATCTGTTTTCCATGTGCATAAGCAGGGCTGATTCCAGGATCTGCACGTCTCTTAGGAGCTATGGCGAGGGCCGTGTGGAGGTGGTAGGAGGGGAGGTCCTATGAGGTGGAGGTGTATGAGAGGTCGGTGCCTTGTAAGCTCGGGCGAGGTCCTGGGCTGCCGTGGTCTGTCCCCTTGGGAACGGGGAGGAGAGCAGTCCCCCTGGGCATCTGCGCTCAGTGTTTAGGCTAGTCACAGTTGCTTTGGGGCTGCCTCTTGCTACACAGTGTAGGCAGCCATGTGTGTGTCCTAGGCGGGGGGGGGGGGGGGGGGGGG